CTTTCTCTTCAGCACAGCGACAAAGGTTTATGATGGGTCAGTCCTCCTGCATGCTCAGATCATTCCCTTCCCTTGCTTGAAAAATTGTTCCAAAATGAAAGTTGAACCCACATCTTTTTTATCTGTGAATTCAATGCCGTTCGGCGAGTCTCAAATAAAAATTTGGGCATCTTACTGTAAAAAATATACCATTAATGTAAAAAATAAACTCTAAATAAACTATGTTCACATCCAGAATCAGACCCAGGTCTTCTGCATGAGAGTCCGACATCTTACTAGGTGGGCTACACACCAGTGACGTCCTTTGTATCTGTAACATTTATATCCTTGATGACAGCTGAAACAAAGAACGGTTCGGAGTGAAAATGGCTATTTTGTTGCTAATTAGCAGGAAATATCTAGAAGAAAGTTCTACAGAAAGTAGCTAAGGGTCCTCAGAAATGTAGCTAGCTTTGTCACTAGGCGTTAGGAACAGCGACAAAGTGGCACTGCCTCTCTCTCTGCTGCTAAAGCTACGGATAGCAAATGCTACGGGCGATGCCTGAGCGTGAACGCGCATGAAGCAGCCTGCTCGACCCGAGCATCTCTCTTTTTCTGTGATTTTACAGAAAAACAGGCAATCACAGTAAAAATGCCAGGGCTCATTCTACAGGACCAGGGCATTGCAGGAGAATGTATGAAGAAGACATTATTTCTATACATGTTTTGGCTGTCAAACTTCCATAATGCCCCTTTAACAACGCCAGATGCAAATCAGAGGGGAGCCATTTGCATTCAAAGAATGTTTACGAGAAGGCTCGTAATCCTGCCTACGACAACTTTTTAACCTCCTGAAACAGGAGCACCAGAGCTTAATGAGAACTTTAAAAAAACTCAGTTTCTACCTGTGAAGTGTGCTCACGAACAGCATCAGGATGTTGATTTTTCTAATACATCTATCTAATTTGAGACAGCTCTAGTTTATTATGAAGGAAGTATTTTGGAAACAAAAATAAAACACTGATAGGTGTCTGTTTGCTATCTTAGCAAAGCTTACCGATGATAAACGTTTGCCTTGAGCCGTTTCAGAAAAAATCAGGTCACGGTTATTACTGAATTGAGCGCTGATGCAACACGTATTTATCCCTTCACTTATCATTATTTCTTCTAGTCAGTCAGTCATTTATCAAATGAAGTTATAAAAACACATCAAAGCCCGGCGTACCAGACCCAGACTTGCTCTTCAGACAAGAAGCTAAAACGCTTCATCTTCTAAGTTGATATGAAACAGAGAACATTTCTGGCATATTTTACAGGATGAATGGAAGTGTTTTCTTTGCTGATACCAGACTGAAGCTGCTGATATCTGATTTATTGGGCACAGTTCTTTAAATCTTCAAATCTGACTCTTGTCATGCCAAGAAATTCCAAGTAGCTCTTTGGGTTTGACGAGGATTTCCTTCCTCTGAGTGTAGAAAGTCCAGACTCACAAACCCTCCTCTGCTTTTCAGAGCAGCTATAATCATGATAATCATTTTAATTCTTCTAATACTGAAAGAAAAGCCCAGAGTAATTTATAGTGGACTCACTGATTCCGATACTTGTGTACCTTCCTCTTGTTTTTGGACTATTCTTATTCTGTGTGTCATGTGGGAACCATCGGTAAACACACACAGGGTGTAAAAGTGCATTTTCCTGCATATCAGCAGTTTGTTTTGTGTCTCCATGTCGACCCAGAGCTGCCGTTTCTGGCCAAACCCAAACAAGCAGACAAGCGCTGAACAGAAGATGAAGGCAGGGATAACAACGCGCCTAGAAAAAGAGAAATATGCGAGCGGTTATGCTTTTGTTACATTTTCAAATGACCAAGGGCTATCCAGTGTGTTTTTCTATATGTTGCATACTCAGAAACGTACTCGTTTTTAGCCTAGCTTGTGTATGCATGTGTTGTGTCTGCCCTAAGAGCGCCCGCCAGTGCAGTAATCAGAGGAGAAAGTCTTTACGGCTCAGACACCAAGAGGAAAAGGGCCTGCTTGCTTGTTGTCCCTCCACAGGCGTTGTCAGGGCGATTACTGTCTGACGGTTAGCCACAAAGCCAGCACACGTTCAGCGACATCCACGTCATCTCGACTCACGACGGGGAAGGCTGTTGTTGGTTTGGCGTCCAGGAAACAGCTGAGAATGTCTCGGCTAGTAGAAGCTAACTGTTAGCATTAGCAGCTCTACCACTCAGCAGAACTCCTCCAGGCTTGTGCTGTTTGTGGAGATAAAACATCAACGCTGCAGAGTCAGCAGTAGAGTCGTGTTGCTGTTAGCCAATCAAGAGGAGAGATTTCCAAATATCAGGAAATAAGACTCCAGATCCTGTCGTGTTCAGCCGCTCACTCCTCCAGCTGACCCCTCCGTGCTGAATCAGACACTTCTGGTCTGAACATGGCTCAGCTTGGCTCAGCGTGGCTTGTCTTTCCGAGTCAAACTGAGACATGGCTCTAGTGGGCATGCTCTTCATGGCGTGCGGGGGGTGAGGGTGGCGTGTGCGAGCTGATCTGTACCGACATAAACGTAGGAGGAGGTGATCTGAACACAGCTTGAGGGGATCCGTCTGACGCACAAAGATGCAACACAGCACAACAACGGCGGTGATGTGAAACATTCATTTTGTCCCGGGACCCTGTGGCTGTGTTTCTGGAGTGCCTCAGTAAGTTTAGAACCACATCAAGGCAGGTACTGAAAAGTTGGGGGAAGACACAGACCCACGTTCCAACTAGACCGAACCCATTCAAGCCACGCCGAGTAGGGAAGTAGGAACGGAGGCATTACTGGTTTTATAAGTTGCAATTTGAACATGATTTCCAGATCTTTCAAATTTGGGTCATACCATCTACAACTGCTGAATTAGGTTTGAAAATACTTTGTGGTCAGTGGAAGGTTGTCATCATCGACATATAAATATTGGACAATGGGTTTCCATAGACTCCAATAACACATTTTTGAGGCTAAATGGGAGGTAGCCGCCATTTTGACCGTGTCACAGGTTCCGTCAAGCCCAGACAATTCCATAAAAGGGAAGAGAGGTGGAGCTGAGGGTGGGGCTGTAAGGCTGGGATCAACTGACGACGCCCGGTCGAACTAGCTACAAGCTAACCTGAAGCTAACCCAAAGCTAACGCGGAGGTGGGAGCTAAGCTAATGGAGGTAGCTACCTAGCTACAACCGGAGTTAACTGTGCACAACACCAGAGCTTCTGAGTCAGAGACACGCCGGGCTGACCGCTGGGTAAAACCGGGTGGAACACAGAGGTCTCCGAGACCTCCACAAGCCGGCAGCCGCTCAGCAGACGAGCGCCGCTGCGATCTGAGATACGCCGGGCTGCCGCTGGGGAGAACCGGGTGGAAAGGTTTCCATCCAGAGCTCCACAAGCCGGCAGCCCGCGCAGCAGACAGAAGCCGCGATCAGACAGAGATGCGCCGAGCTGCGGGGAGGGGAGAACCGGGTGGGAAACATTGGTCTCCCGAGAGCTCCACAAGCCGATAGTGGGAACCCAGCTCCACCAACATGTTATATTTCAACCCATTTTCTAAAGTGCAGCATTATGTTAAATGCACTGGGTTTGACCCTATTACATTTAAATTTCATGGTTAAACAGTACATGTTAAAATCTAAGCTCAGCTCGGCAGTGACCTAAAATACATAAATATCATTTTACTTACTGAAAAAAATGAAGTGGAGACTCCTTGGACGCTCTATTAGTGCAATTAATGCCACAGCAAGTCATTTTGTCCAACAATTGCACAAATAATATCCAAACAAGAATACACACACACAGAGACTCAAAATCCCGGAGCAGTTTCCAGGCCAGACCGAGGCTCTACTGAGGCCTTTCCACGGAGCTAGCTCTGTGGTCACGTGGGTCTAATGCTCATTAATTATACAGAATTTTAGGCTTTTAATACACTTAAACAGAAGAGTGAGAAAAAAATTCACCCCCCTCACAGTTGTCATGAGTGTAAACTAGATCATTTAAACAAAAAACATGTTCTGGTACCAGGCTGTAAACATGTTTATTTCTGCTGTGAAATTGGTATTTTTAACATGGGAGTCAATGAGGATTTGCTCGCTTCTGATACCAGCCCCTAGTGGATGAGGGTGGAACTGCAATTTTTGGTACTTCCGGGTCTGCTTCGATTTTTCACCCGCATTGTGGGGGCTTGGTTGTCATTTTCTTAGACGTTTGCTCTTTTTATGCCTCAAATCTCATAATAAATATGTGTACAGCGCCGGTAAAATCAAACACCGTTATCGTTATCATCTCAGGTTTGGACAAACTGTGTGGATGATGCAAAAAGCATAGTGGTTGCATTCTTTATAGCCTGTGTTAGAAGTGTTTATTTTTTTAAGATGTCTAAAAATCCTGAATTTTAACAGTTGATGTAGAGATATGGTTAGACACGCCTTCTCTCACGTGGTAGGTTGTAAAGGAAACGCTCGCGTTCCTGTCGCTGATTACAGAACAGCGTTCTTGTTTGAACCGATCCACAGAAAGCTCACCGTGAAACACTCATGATAGATTTCCTGCAAAAACACCGTCGGTTCACACCTACATCAACAAACACGTACGGTATATCAACACCACCGTTAAAATCCTGAGATGTCTCCATCCTCTGACTGTGCTGTAAACAGAGCAGCAGATGCTTATCAGACCAAAGGAAGCAGAGAAGAGAGAAAGGTGACCCCTCCTTGAGTTTTTCTATAAACAAAACTGCCGACACAAAAAGAATAAGTCTTTTGGTTTGAAGGTATCAACACTTAAAATCTGAACTTCACAAAAACATGTTTAAAAAAACTGCCCCTAGAGTGGGACTGCTGCATGATAACCATCAAACAAGTGAGACGTGAAGATGGGAAAATATGTTAGAAGGTCAAAACAAGGCTGAAAATAAAGAGTGCCATCGTGATTATTGGAGTGTGGTTACAAACCTCTGGTGAAAATAAGAGAAACACTGACGGCTCCCGTCTGCTTACCACATGGCTGCTGCGGTCTCTGGTGGGCTGGTATTCCGGCGCTGGGACGCACTGCTCCGCGTGTCCGTTACAGAAGCAGCTTCCCTTCACCATCAGGTCATAGATGGCAAAGTGTTGCGTGTGGAGAGCTGCTTCCCGTGCGGAGGCCAGGTCTTTGGCCTGGCAGGGACACGACTGATGCTTCAGCAACCGAATCCGGATGTTGGTGACCCTCAGCTGCAGCTGGCCCTCCGGCCCGAAAGGATCCAGGGACTGCCACTTCGGGAGGGTTCGGTAGATCACCTGACACCCGGAGAGAGGGAGGCTGTGTTAGCTGCAATAATCCTGCCTTTTTTTGTTCAAACACAAATTATAACTCAATGCAGATGGGGAAAAATGTTTAATAAGTAAGTAAAGTAAAGTAAAACTTTATTTATAAAGCACTTTTCACAGATAAAATCATAAAGTGCTTCACGACATACATAAAAAGGCAAAACAGGACAGCAGCACAAGGTCAACTTACATAAAAGCTTGTCTAAATAAAAGTGTCTTCAGCTGCTTTTTAACAGAATCAACCGAGTCGGCCACACGGAGAAACAAGGGCAGGGCGTTCCAAAGTCTGGGAGCTACAGCGTGAAAGGACCGGTCCCCTCTAGTTTTAAATCTGGTCTTAGGGACCTGCAGTCGGTTCTGACCCGAGGACCGTAGCGTGCGGCCAGAAGAGTGAGGCATTAAAAGGTCTGATAAATATTGTGGAGCTTGTCCATTAAGAGCTCTAAAAGTCAAAACTAAAATTTTAAAATCAATTCTAAACTTGACCGGTAGCCGATGTAAAGAAGATAAAACCGGTGTTATGTGAGCCCTTCTACTGGTTCCTGTTAAGAGCCTTGCTGCAGCGTTCTGGACCAGCTGGAGACGACTGACATCTGATTTGTTAAAACAAGTAAAGATAGAATTACAATAATCTAAACGAGAGGAAATAAAAGCATAGATAATCATCTTCAAGTCCCATTTTGAAGTAAAAGCTCTCAATTTGGAAATGTTTCTCAGATGATAAAAGCCGTTCTTTACTAAATGTTTTGAGTGGCAGCTCAAAGACATGGACTGGTCAAAAAGAACAATGTTTCTGAGACTGGTCTGGACTGAGGAGCTCAGGGAACCGAGGTGTTGTTTGATTAAAAGCACTTTCTGTTCAGGAGCAATGATCAGTGTTTCGGTCTAGCTTGAGTTCAGCTGAAGACAGTTGCTGGCTAGCCGGTCCGTAATACGCTCAATGCACTCAAGTAGATCAGCTAGCTTGTTAAACTCTGTGTCCTTGAAACAGCAGTACAGTTGAATGTCATCCGCATATAAATGGTAGGACACATTAGTAAAGCTTTTAATGATCTCCCCAAGAGGGCAAATATATAAAATTATAACACACACACACACACACACACACACACACACACACACACACACACACACACACACACTAAAGTTTTAGTAGCCTTTTCCTTTATTTCGGTAGCAAACAGCGGTAAAATTAAGATAAACTGGTTAGGCTTTTTGTAACTCCACTTAGTGATTAGGAAGGGATGTTGTGGAGGTATTAAGTTACACAATGAAGCTCGTGATGTCACAACTCCTGTCTGGGGAATTTGGTTTAGGATCATTTATGTGGTAATTTAGGACTTTAAATCTTGACATCATTGGGTGTGACCTCACACGAGTGAGGTGGGTATCCTTATGAGTAAAACAGTTTCGGTTTGATTCCTGGAAATCCTTCAAATCAAAGATCCCCTTATAGGCTGCCATCACACTGCTGCCAGTAGAACCAGTACCGCTTCTGTTGTTGGGGTGAAATAGTTGGCATCTGCGCCAACCCTGACTGTTAAAAATGTGTGTTTGCACAGCGCCTCTTCACAAGTTGTTGCTGTTGATATTGTTTGAGCTGTGTCTTTATGAGCATTTCCTGTTTAGAGTCTGTCACATTTTGGTTCAGACACATGAAAAGCCCTGGTGCTGCTCTCTGATTGGACGAAAGACCGGCTAGGAGCGTGATGGTAGAAGCTCTTTTAATTTCCCCGTTGTTGGAAAAGGTCGCAAGGTCACAGCATTGTGATCTTCAATTAAGAGAACACGACAAATAGGATGATAGGCGCCAGTCCCAGGGCGAGCACGGAGAGCCGGGCCAGACAAAAGGCAGCGATGAAGATGCAGCTCCACATAACTCAGGGCTGAACAAAAGGGCCCCGACAGCCCAGCGACTCCACAGCAACATCAGCACACCCGTACATCCGTGCTGGCATGCGTGCTGGGAGACCACAACAGTGTGTTGGTTTGTTGGATCGGCTATGGGAACACGCCTTATAGTTTTATTTGGGATGTAAAGATAGAATATTGTTTTCAGATACGTTGATGACACCCGTGTTTTTTTCCACCGGAGCTGAATTCACATCACAGTCCTCTGTTAACCACCAAAGGCAGAAGCATCCTCAACAGGTGACGTGATCTCCTGACAGTGTGGAGAAACAGAGTTAATTTAAACACCTCCAAGATTTTAAACCCTTTTTCAAACTAGCATTAAGTCTGAGCACGGGCGAACACTGGCTCCTGGACAGGCTGTGAAGCAACGTGGGACTGGTGGATGGAGGAGGACATGATGTCCCACATGAGCTCCGTTGGATTCAGGTCTGGGGGACAGGCGGGCCAGTCCATGGCATCAGTCCCTTTGTCCTGGAGGAACTGCTGACACACTCCAGCCAACTGCCCCCGCTTATGGTGTCACAAGGGGTCTGATCTCAGCTGGGTACCCAAGGACAGTCAAGCTACCCCTGAAATACCACTTTACATCATTACTGACCCACTGCACAACTGGTTATGCTGGAGGATGTTGCAGGCAGAATGCTCTCCACGGCATTTCCAGACTCTCATGTCTGTCACATGTGCTCAGTGTGAACCTGCTTTCACCTGGGAAGAGCACAGGGCGCCAGTGGTGAATTTACCAACCTTGGTGTTCTCTGGAAAATGCCAAATGTCCTGCATGGTGTTGGGCTGTAAGCACAACCCCCACCTGTGAACGTCGGGCCCGCATACCTCCCTCACCAAGTCTGTTTATGACCATTTGAGCGGACACATGCACATCTGTGGCCCGCTGGAGGTACTTTTGCAGGACTCTGGCAGTGCTCCTCCTGCTCCTCCTCTCACAAAGGCAGAGGTAGCGCTCCTGCTGCTGAGTTGTTTCCCTCCTACGTCCTCCTCCTGGTAGCACCTCCATGCTCTGGACACTATGCAGACAGACACAAGAGACCTTCTTGCCACCGCTCACATTGATGTGCCATCCGGGATGAGCTGCACTACCGGGGCCACTTGTGTGGGTTGTAGACTCCTCCTCGTGTTACCACTAGAGTGAAAGCACCACCAGCATTCAGAAGGAACCGAAACATCAGTCAGAAAGTGCAGGATCTGAGAAGAGGTCTGTGGTCAGTCACCACCTGCAGAACCACCTGTCTGATGGAGACATCTTGCTAACTGCCAATAATTTCCACCTGTTGTCTATTCCATTTGTTCTACCGCGGGTGGAAGGGATTATTAATCTGTGTTGCTTCCTAAGTGGTCCGTTTGATTTCTCAACATAAACAGCAAACCGTGTGTGTGTGTGTGTGTGATGAGAGAGATCTTATAGCTCAGTTCTTTCCTTTTTAAAGGAAGTAGATTTTGCAGCTCTTTAAAAAAGAGGTTTGGACCCCTGCGAGAGAGCCGTTTAAAGCCCATTTTTTTATGCAAGCCCCATTTTCAACTGAATAAAACCAAAGAAAACACAAATGTTGTAAATTCCACTAAATTCAATTCACTTCTTTATGGTCTCCCCAACAAACTCCTTCATAAACTGCAACTGGTCCAGAATTCAGCAGCCCGTATTATCACCAGAACCCCTTCCTTTCACCACATCACACCGGTTCTCCAGCAGCTTCACTGGCTCCCAGTTAAATTCAGGTCCATCTTCAAAATTCTCCTCCATACCTTGAAAGCAATCCACAACCTCTCTCCTCCATATATCTCAGACCTTATAAGTATTCACACCCCGTCCCGTTCACTCAGATCTTCTTCTTCCATCCATCTTGCGGTTCCTTCTGCCCGTCTCGCTACCATGGGGAGCAGAGCTTTCAGCCGCTCTGCTCCTCGACTCTGGAACTCACTTCCCCCAGACATCAGGAACGTCGACAGTTTTACCCTTTTCAAAACAAAACTCAAAACACACATGTTTAAATCTGCCTACAACCTCTGATTTTATTGAACTGTTTCTCTCTTAGTTTTTTCTTCTTTGGGTTTTATTATTGTTTTATTGTATTTTATTACGTGTTTTGTGTAAAGTGACCTTGGGTGTCCTGAAAGGCGCTTTTAAATAAAATGTATTATTATTATAAATCTAAGTTGATGCTGTATCTGTATTTGTGCATAAACATGCCAAGTATGGCTTCACCCAGGCTCGTCTCTGTAGGAAAACGTGTTTCAGAGAAATTCTGCAGAGCAAAAAGCACGCACGGAGTTCGTATCTATCGCAACAGCTCTACATCCCAGTTTGGTCGACTATAATCTGCAGTTTATGGTTCGACCCTTCCTTCATGTTGGGATGCAGTACAACAATCACATGAAGTATGATACTGAAACACTACAACTAGGAAAGTTATAGCTACTATTGGTCTCATGGTTGTTTACTTTTTTCCTGTCACTTTGAACAATAACAGCGAAAATTACTATCAAAATAAACGCATGAATCTGAATGTAGCATTAAAAGATTTGTGCAGGAAGGTATGATGTTATCATATTTATCAAGAACTACACCCTAAAGCAGCTGAGAGCAAACATTTCAATGCCTGAAAACCTTAAATTATTGTTATTTCCAAATATGCCAAAAACAGTTTTATTCATCAAACCTCTTACGCGACACACGTCTGGGCCCAAAATTAACCTTCAGTTATTTTAGGAAACATTAAGGCACGGTTTGACAGAAAGTAGATAAAATATTGTCGTTAGGCCCGGTTTACATGGGAGGACTTTAAGATGGACGAATGATTTTCAAAACATGGCAGACCACACAGCGATAAAGAAATCATGGACATGACTACGGCTGAACGATTTTGGAAAATAATCCAATTGCGATTTAATTCACGATAATTTTCTCAAGGAACTTTTCTCATTTTTCAACTAACGGAAGCAAAAATAAATAAAAAAAATCTATGTAACTTGTACTGAATATAAACAAGTTTATGTATCTACATATCATATCAACAAGCAGGGGAGGATTGAGGACTGAAGAA